ATTCCCAGCATGGCCTCCATTTTAGATTTCACTCGGTATTAGACCCGATTTACCTAACTACACTGACTACCTAACTTTAAATCTGGCTTCAGTATGTGGCTCCACGGTAAAGCAACCTTGGGTTCAATCCCCTCAAAACCAAACCAAACCAAAAAACCCATAAAACCCCACCAAAAGCAATAAAGTGATCTCAGGCTGGGACAATAAAACCATGGTTTCCCTATAGAAAGAAAACCCTCCAAAGAGAATGGTTGCAAATACATTGCTTGGTCTTTTCTCTCTTGCAGCTGTCAGAGGAAGAAGAGATCATTGATTTGCTTCTGATGAAAATATTCAGCTTCCTAGGCATTAGCTATAAAGGAGAGGACCCTCAGAGCAGCAGTGACCAGGCTGAATCTGCCCCCGAGGCTTGGGTTCCTCAACCAGCACAAGCTGTGCCCAATGTTTAAGGTGTTCATCCACCCCAGGCCTGTGCTTACAAGGATTCTAAAGTCTCTCTGGGACAATGGTTGTGTCTGTAGAAGATTTACCAAACCAGCAAGTTAAAAAAAAAAAAAAAGATATCTACCTACATTCATAAAATTGCTCCCCTGTGTGAGCCTGTTAGTTCCAATGCATTTCCCCTTAGAAATAAAAGTCTTCTCTACAGAGCAGTTGTCTTATCTCTTTGGTCAATCAGGGGTTACCTTCAAACAATGCTTGTTCAGAGCTTCTCTGAATACCAACCACGGGTGTGGTATTAGTAGCCTTGGGTTGCTAGAATAGTATCACACACCAGATGGCTTAAACAACAGAGAGTTATTGTTTCATAATAACTCTGGAAGCCAGAAGTCTAAGATCAAGGTATTACTGGGCCATGTTTCCTCTTCGGTACTAGGGAATAATCTATGCCTTTTCCAGCATTTTTTTTTTTTTTTAAAGAGAGAGAGAGAGAGAATTTTTAATATTTATTCTTTAGTTCTCCGTGGACACAACATCTTTTGTTGGTATGTGGTGCTGATGAAAGGGTAAAGTTTCTAAGCTGGAAAGCTTGAATGTAAAAGATTAGGTATTATTAAGTTCCTCTGTTACACCCAGATTCTTGAGTTCCTGAGATAGTTAAAACAACGCCCTACTGGCCATTCAGCCTAGGGCCCTGTGCAGTTTGTCACAGGGCCTGAACCAATCAGTTTGAATGTGTCCCCCCCCCCCCGCTTAGGAGTGACCAATCACCCCCACCCGACCTGTTCCCGCCAATGAATGTGCCAATCACGTCTCAGAGTTGTTGTTCAATTTTCCCGTGCCTCATGATGTTCTGATGTATGCAAAGCCCCCACCCTCCCCAAAAAGTGTACTTAAGCTCTGCTTGACCTCTGCTCTGGGCTCTGGGCTGCTCTCCCTTCTTGAGTATCATGGAGCCCCAGCGCGCTGGAATGGATCCCCAATAAATCCCCTTTTGCCAATTGCATGGAGCCAGTCTCTTGTGTGGTCTCTTTCTCCGATGCTCCACCAGATCCTAACACTGAGGATCGAACCCGGGCCGCACGCATGCCAGGCGAGTGCGCTACCGCTTGAGCCACATCCCCAGCCCCTTTTCCAGCTTTTGAATTTCTTAGTAAGCCTTGGTGTTCCTTAGCTTGTAGATGAATCACTTCTGTCCTGGCACTTGGCATTTTCTGTGACTCTTCTCATCAGGTGCCAGTCATATTGGATTAGGGATCCACCCTACTGCAGTATGACTTGAATTAACTAATGCATGACTATCCCAACACAGTCATACTTTGAAGAGGTGGGTTAGGACTTTGACCTATCTCTTTAGGGGACACAATCCAATCCATGATAGTTTCTGGACCAAATAAATGTGAGTAATGCTGGATGATTATACTGTTAGGTCGATGGTGGCCAACTTGGTGGCATCTTAGTGGCAACTTAGAACAAAGCAGCCGGTGCCTAAAAAGAACATCAATCAGATGCCGGCGGAAATGCCTGTCAATCAGCCAGATCTCCTGACTAATGCCTGTCAATCAACAGGACCCCCCTGGCCAATC